ACAATGACACTAACTCTAATCCTAGTAGTTTGCTCAGAGCGACCACATGGTTGCCAGGGCTGTCATGGAAGCTGCTCACTGCATCAGAGCTCCTGGCTGAAGAGCCAGCAGAAGTTGGTATCCAGCCTTCTCTCCGTTCTCCAGGTTACGGGGGCATCCAGCAKATTGCCTTCTGCTGTTTTACAATGTGAGCAGGATGGACCAGATGTGGATCTCTCATGGGCATTCAAGAAATTTTCTTTCACTTATGGATTGACAGGTGGATGTGTGGACCTTTTGCTTATTTTCTTCTTCTCCAGGACTTCAGGCCAATTGCCTTCTCACAGCCTCATTTTCTGCACCTGTTAAAGGGATAATTAACATCTATCTCATAGCCTGGTTATGAGGATCGAATGAGACAGTCCATTAAATAATCACAATGTGATTGCATCGATGTCACATATCCAGAATGGGCAAATCCATAGAGACTGACAGCAGATTMGTAGTTGCTAGAAGCTGGAGGAGGGGGAAGGGGATGCTTTTGGTGTGAGGAGAGTGTTTTAGAGATAGGCCCAGTGCCACCAACATACTGCTATAAATGATATGCTTTAAAAAGTGTGAATTTTATAGTATGTGAATAGGGCATGTTATATCTCTTTTTTGAACAATGCAGTGGCAGGGGCATGCAGGTGTTCTGTGGATATCTGTTGAATCCTATGATTTTTTTTCCAGTACTGAACCCAGGGTCACTTTATTACTGGAGCTGCACTCCCAGACCTTTTTATTTTTCCTTTTGAGACAGGGTCTTGCTAGTTCCCTAGGCTTGTCTTGAACTTGAGACCCTCCATTCTCAGCCTCCAGAGTTGTAAGGATTATATGCGGGTGCCATCAGGCCCCTCTGAATCCTATGATTTCTTTGTTTCAAAAATAAAGTAAACCCCCACCTTTCTTGGCGCCTCTTGCCCCATTTGGGTTAATATTGACTTTCCTCTCATTCATTTCACAAGTATTTATTATTGCCATTTTGGAGTTGGTGATATGATGAGAATTAAGAGAGACACAGACCCCACATCCAAAGATCACAGGCTTGTGGGAGAAAGTAAAAAGAAAATCACCACACTAGGTGGTTGGTGGTCAGGGTTGTGAGGAGAAGGGCTGAGGTCTGCTGGCATGGGGCACGGAGGAGGGCACGTCACCCAGACAAGGGAACGTCAGGGAAGGCGTCTAGATAAATGAGGCTTGGTAGCTGGAACCAGCAAGGTAAGGAGGCCTGGTCAGAATAATTCAGCAGTTAGAAGATGCAGATGTCAGGGAGGGGTCGGAGATGCCATTGGAGTAGGGAGGGGCTCAGGAAAAGAGCAGAACACACAAATCCAGGGAGGGGAAGTGTGGGAAGGCATTGCAGGTGTAAGCCAGATCAGGGAGAAGTCCGAAGGGGCTCCTGGCAGTGAGTTGAGACTCCATCCCGAGACATTCCAGGCCTCTGCTCTCCAGCACGGTTGTCCCTGTCGAACATGACTCACAAGATTGTGAGATCTTGGCGAGGAAAGGTGAGCCATTACCAGGCTTGCCAGAATGGACTTGTCTTGGGACAGCCCCCACCAGCAAGGACCAGTAGTGGTTGGGAAAATGCCAGAGTACTTTATTATGAAAATCTAAGGAAGGCAGCCTGGTTGTTCACACCAGACCCATACTGGCTATAGATGAGAGGGGTGGGATCATACCCCATGGCCAGACGAGGCTTCGGGACAGGGAGGCAGTCATGGTGGAGAAGCAACCTGTAAGTAGGACACGGTGGCACTCAGGGGTTTGACAGAGCTCAAGAAGGTAAAAACACACTTTGGTTCTTGTGGCCTATAGCTCATTTCTGATCTAACTTCCCCATCTGGCCTCCCTTTCATCCCCAGCCCTGTGTAGTTAAAGTGAGGGCATCTCAGAGTTTTTTTCTTAACGCGGCCTTGGCAACCATCCTCCGCAGCCCTTGCTCCAGCTGTGTCCTGCTCCTGTCTGTCCCAGTGGATCCTGGCCCATTWGTGCCTGAACCCAGGTAATCGGTCTTCCCCAAGAGCCTGCCTCACCCCAGGCCCTGTGCTGGGTGTTGGGAACCCAGGGACTCCCAAGAGACTGCCTCCGACCCTGGGAGAGCTCCCATGCTAACCGGGAAGCAGCACAAAGAGAAGTACAAGCTGGTGGGAGAAATGCTGTGAGGGTGCTCCGGGCACGCCACAGGCGGCCTTACCAGGCTCAAGGGCTCAGGGAAGGTGACTCCTGAACTGGATCTTGAAGGAGGCACCAGGCCCAGGGATGAGGTGCAAGGCAAGAAGGAGCAGCCTCGGAGAGGCCCAGATTCTGGTTGGTGGGGTCACAGGGAACCTTGAGATCCAGATGAAGGCCCAAGTTGGGTAAACACACACACACACACACACACACACACACACACACACACACAATTGCAGGAAATTTTAGAGTGTCTGGTCCATCTCGCTTTGCCTGGGAAGGTTACCCTCCCCCTCCTACTGCAGTTCCGGCCCACCTCCTTCTCTGGCCTGCAAAGCTCCCTTCAACTCTGGACTTTGTACCCATCACAGGAAATTTACTTGTTTATCAGTCTGAGTAGCTGCCTGCTGAGGTCTGCTTCTATTAGGGCCTTCTGGACCCTCCTCCAGATTCTAGCTGTACACCCACCTCCCAATATTGGGGATGAGGGTGAGCCAGCCCCCCTGAAAACTTGGGAAGATGTAGGATGAGACTACCCTGTGGGAGGCGCTGCTAGCCACCTGGCTCTGCCCTGGCCTCCCCTCCCCTCCCCTTCCTTCTCCAGCTGCTTCCGCCCCACCCACCGCCTCCCCAGGTGAGTCAAGTGGTAACTCTGTCCCGCCCACCTGTCCAAGTTCTGCCCGCCCAGCCGGAAGCCACCTCCACGGACTGTGCCCAGTTCCTGAAGGTGGGAGCAGAGGGGGCGGGCATTGGGGGGCATGGGCGAGGGTGCACAGACTCTCTGTAGATTCCCAGGGGCTCCAGAGAGCAACAAGGAAACTACAGATCAGGGTGGGAGTGTGTCTGTGCAGATCAGAGGGGTGTGTGATTATCTGACATGAGGGGGCAGGGCGCGCGCGTGTGTGTGTGTGTGTGTGTGTGTGTGTGTGTCCGTCCGTCCTTGGGAAGGATTCATAGAAACAGGCAGAGAGGAGAGGAATTGGAGTAAAATCTTAGGAAAGTCAAATTGAATTCAAATCATTTCACTATAACAAACTCTTATTTGGGGGGACTTAATGCCTGGGAGAGATACGCAGCAGGCAGCTAAGAAATGCTTGCAAATGAATGAATGAACTGTGTACCTCGCCTTTCTGATGCGTCCTTCCCCCCTCCCCCATAAGTTCACTCTCTCCTTCCTTCCCTGCCCCCAGCCCCCATTCCCCATTCATTTCATTAACTTGCTGAGCCGCCAAAGGCCAGCTCTGCCCGCATGCACCTTGACGCTGATCAGCCAGCCAAGTCCTTGTTCCCAGAGAGCTGCTTGGCTGGAAATAGCCGGTTCTAACTTGTGACTGCCTGAGCAGGACGGGACTGGGGCCACTTCAGGGGAATCCTTGGAAAACCTCAGGGGCAGGATGATCTGATTTGGCCTTGAGGGATGGAGATTCCAAAAAACTGTGGAGAGGGTGGCCTAGAGGTAGAGGGTGGGTGGGTGAGTGAGTAGGGGTGGGTGGGTGTGTGTCTGAGTGTGCATAGGGACCTGTGGCAAAGAGGTAGGAGAGTTTGTTTGCCCTGAGGACCCCACGCTGGATTGATGGCGAGGCCTGGGAAGACCATCAGCCCGCAGCCCTAAGAGGCTTGGAGCTTTTGAAGGGCTTTTAAGTAGGTGATAGGGTCAGTGTTGGCTCTGTGGAGTGGACTAGAGGCAGGGAAAGATCATTTAGGAGGTCGTGGCGGAAAGATCATGGCAAAAGGTGCAAGGAAAAGGTGGCTTGGGTACAGCAGTGGCTGTCAGGGGAGGGGAGGAACAGGTCACTCTGAGACATTTAGAGGAAGAACGGATGGGGCTTGATGGCAGTTTGGATGTGAGGGGTGAGGGTGTCACTCGGTTATCTGTATTAAAGAATATAACAGAATACTTCCCTACACCAAGTCCTTATAGGTACTTCCCTAGCCTGGCTACTCTGTCCAGGGACTCCTCTGATTCAGGTGCTCCACCTGCAGATGCTGCCCAGCCCAGGTACTTCCTGGGCTGTCTCTCCCCAGGTACTTCCCAACTTTGGAGTTCTTCCTCGAGCTCTGCTGCAGGTCCAGGTGGGCCTCCCCACGTGCCTTTGATTCAGGTGCTCCTCCAGCTATTCCCCTCACCTGGGTGCTCCTCTGGCAGGTTCCCTGCCCAGGTGGCCCTCATCTGTAACCTTTCCTGACTCAGGAGGTCCTTGCTGGAATAGTCTCTGGCATGATCCTCCCTCTGGGGGCAGTGTGGGCCTTCTGTGGGTGGAGATGAGTAGATGGGGTTTGCTGGAAAGCTTGAGGGCAGAGATGTGGCAGCAGTGGTACGGGGAGCACAGGTTCAGGGCTGCCCTGGCTGAGTCTGGGGCCCCTAACCTGGGTAGGTAGGGGGGCATTGGCCTTCTCATGTGGTCTGCCCTGTGTCTAGGTAGCTCCAAACAACTGCTCTTGTCCAACCTTTGGGAGCCACGAACAGCCTCTGCCTCCATGTCCCATCCTTAGCCAAACAGCATAGCAGACTGGGTTGTGGTGTCAGAGACCTGGGTTCAAATTCTAGGGCTTTGATTGAGTTAGTTTTTGGACCTCAGCATCCTCTTCTGTAAGGTGGAGATGATGTTCATACCTTTAGGAACGTACAGCCAGTTTCTGCATACTCGGCTTGTTTCTTCTGTGGACAAGTGATGTGGTGAGTTGTCCAGGCCCCAGCATTTGTGCCATACCCTAACACGGCTGTGTGACCTGGAATATATGCTCTCTGTCTATCCTTGACACCCATACCTCTTTGTATTTTCCAGGACAGAGGCATAGGCCTCTGGCAGAGGTTGAGGCTCACTGATGTCATCAGGCCCTTCCATGAATGGGACAAGCCAAAGTGAGTGATAGCACACGGTGGATAAGGAGAGGGTGGGTTCTCTTAGCTGCTGAGATTGGGGGAGGACCCTGTCCACCCTCCTTTCAGTTTCCCACCTATAATGCTTCTCTTTCTCTGCAGCCCCTGTGGAGCCCTCGAAGCTCCCCGCAGTAATATCCACGACCCCTGGACTGGGCACTGGGGGCCGGGCGTGGCCTGTGCTGGTAGGGGTTGTTCTGGGGGCTGTGGTCTTCTCTGTGCTCCTTGCACTTGCTGCCAAATTCCATGTCTGCCGCCGCTACTATGCCAGCTACCGACACCGCCCACTGCCCAGAACAGGAAATGGGAACCGCCCAGAGGTGGGTGAAGATGAGGATGATGATGGTTTCATTGAGGACAATTACATTCAGCCTGGGGCCAGTGAGCTGGAGACGGAGGGGAGCAGGGACCGCTTCTCCCTCTGAGCCCTGATCTTTGGATCCTCTCTTCCCTCCATGCCTGGCAGTTTTAAGGGCAGCCGATGCTAAATAGGAGCCCAAGCCTCAGGGACAGACGGGACAATGACTTAAATGTTGACCAAGAGTAGCGCAATTCTCTCCTTCCTGACACTAGCCACCAAATGACAATGACCTTCTCTTGCTCAATAACTCTAAATGACTCCCTGCTGTACCTGGAAAAAGTCTAACAACCCTATGAGTATGGAGAAGAGGCGCTCTGTGACTGGCTTACGTGGACTTCTTGTTTCCTCTTTTACCTTCCCCTACTTTACTCCCTTCTTAATTAGGTGAAGTTTTTGCTCAGGTTGTTCCTTAGCCTGGGCTGCCATACCCTTCTCTAAGTCCCCTCTGATAGTGCTGAAAATTCTAGCCCACAGGCCCTCTATGGCCTGCTTGCCTWCCTGCCAGCATCGCAGATGTGCCCAGATGGTGCATTTGAGCAGGTGAAATCAGTGCCAAGTTTCCTAATGAATATCTTTCTTATTATTAAAGTGGGTGATCTGGTTATAATACATTGTTTTTCACAGGAATTAATAAATCTATTTTCATTTTGGATAAACATAAAAAGTCATCATTCATTTATATTTTTCCTGAAAGATACATATCATTCACAGCTGGAAGACACTGCTTCGAGATCCCCTGCACCAGGATACCCTCCAKGAGCACCTCCCTCAATCACACCCTGAGAATTTCTCCATGTTTTATTTTAATCTCTATGACAACTGATATCACCCTTCACCATGCCTTTCCCTACAGCTAGACTGTGAGTTCTCTCAGTCCCCAGGTTGTATCTTATTCTCTAGTCTTGTTACTGGAGTCCTAGGCCAGAGGCCTAGCTGGGGAGGTCTCAACAAATCAGATCCTGCCACGCACCCCAAAAACCAAATAGAAAGGTAATGGTGAAAAGCAGGAAAGTAATCTTAATCAATATAGCCATATTGGGAAGGCAAAGTGAGAACAAGCATCTCAGCTCTGTCTTTGAGGGTCTGACAATGACTTTGAAGTTTTACAAGAAGACAAATGAGSGTAAGGGTTGGACATTTTCATGGCTGGCGGGTTTGCACAGCTGGCAAAGCAGTGATCTTGGTCAGGTGTGGTCTGTTCCATCATATGTCAGGATTAGTCAATTAGAGCTTACCCTAAGAAAGTTATTACTGCCTGGGGAGGGGGTGGTTTCCTCTATCATAAGATGTTTATCGATAAGATCTGTTGTTTCTGTAATCTAAGGTGCCTCAGAGCAAAGGAGATAGAAGTAAAATGGAGGCAGAGATGCCAAGTTTTTAATCCTGTTTTTAATTAACCATTGGACATTTGCAGGCAAATGTGAAGCCTCTCAAGTCCTTGTTTCAGTTTTAGATTCTCATGACATGGATGCTAAATAGATACCACCAGATCTCCATATCCACAGGTTCTGCATCCTTGGATTCAACCAACCATGGGTTGAAACTATTTGGGAAAAAAAAAATTGTAGAAATATCCAAAAAGTAAAATGTGGATTTGACATTTAACAAGTATTATGATGAGTCCATGGGGATGAGCTGATGTGCAGGCATTGTATTAGGTACTGTAGGTAGTCTAGGGGTGATTTAAATTATGAAGTAGGATGTGCATAGGTTATATGCAAACATGATGCTGTTTTATTTAAAGGACTTGAGCATTTGTGGATTTTGGTATCTGCTGGAACCAACCCCTTGTAATACTAGATTCCGAGGGAGAGTTGTATTGTTGAATTACTATGGGCTGAGGAGTGAATGGATGAAAGGTGAGGAAGTAGACAGAGGTGGAAGATTTTACCAAGAATCTTGGCAAAAGAGGAGAAGGAGAGGGTCATGATTTTGGAGGGGAAATTTAAGAGCAAGKAGGGCAGTTTTAAGATGGGAGAGACCTGAGTTAAGCTTCTCTAATTGCAAACAATAGAAAGGAGTTTGGAGAAGAATTCTGGCTGTTGTGTGGAATCAAAGGGTCAGCTGATAGGAAAAAGGAAAAGAAAGGTGGGGGCRAATCTCATGAAAATCAAAGGGAGATCAGTAGAGGAAAGGGGGGGGTAAACTGCCAGGGTGTGATATTGGCCAAATTATATTGTTATATTGTATGAAAGTATGAATATGTAATAAAAAAAATAAAAATGTACATCATTATGTACAACAATAATGTACCAATATAGAATGTGGGAAAGTAAATAAATGGAGAGATAAAYACTGTTCATGGATGACAATAAGAAAATAAAAGGATGACTTGGATGTAGGTGGTCTTGGTGGTTGGAGCTCAGGCATTGTAATCTGTGCTTGTCACTCAGGGGCATTGATGAGAGAGACTCTCTCTGCTTAGGACTTTCAAATTCTTGAATCCAAATTTCAAGTTCTTGAGCAAGAGAACCTGGCCAATTTGGGTCAAGTATTCACTGCTGGGCCAATCTGCTATGACTAGGAAGCAGGGTCCTATAGCATTCACATGATTTGGGTGGTCCACGTCTTTTTTTCCAGATCATTCCCAGACAAGGGGCAGTTCTCACAAGCCAGGTGGCTACCTTTCCATGTTCCACCAGTGTCAGTGTCAGTATTTGAGGGAAAGAAGGAAAATGTTGGTGTGTTTTACACAGGGAGGGGCTTGAGACAGGCAGAAGGTTAAGGAGGACTTGAGTCTAGTGTCCGGGGGGTGCCCATGGCAGCCATGAAGCTTGAGAGGATTCATTAGAGCTTTGGAAGTTGAGATGCAAAGCTCACAGTTCAGCCCGAGAGCAACTGAGGCTCAACTGTGACTTTGTGTGTATGTGTGTGTGTGTTATATAATCATGATAGAAAAATCATCTTGTTGTGCAGAGATAGAAATTCAAAGACCACCTAAGGTGTGGCTAGGGGAACAGAGAGACTCCAGAGACGAGGAGGCATAGCTGACGGAACTTGTTGATTTGGGATATGGGGAACAGAAGGTATCGATACAGTTGCCCTGTTTTCTGGCTCAGTAACTGGGTGCAATGAAGAAGAGTAGGTTGGGGGATTGGTGGTTGGTTTAATGTTGAATGCAGGATTTCCAGGGGGAGATGCCAGGGACAACTGGGCTCATGGGGAGAAAAGTCCAGTCTCTGGACATGGGTTTGTGGATAATCAGCACTGTGGTCATTGAAAGCAGGAACAGATGAGATGGCCAGGGAGGGGCAAAGTAAGAGGAGGTGCTGGAATAGAGTGGGGACCTTATCTCAGGGATTGTCAGCAGAGGAAGGCCTGGAAGGGAAGGCTAGAAGGAAGCAGCAAGCTCATGCAGCCCACCTACCAATTGCTGCTGAGTCCAGAGGTTTGACCCTCAAAGGCTTGGGAGAAGCAGAGGCTGCTCTAGCCTGAGACTCACAGGGAAGGCCCTGAACAGTTGGCCTAAGAGACGGAGGGCTCCTTTCCTCTGAGGGAGGTGTTGCTGCAAAMGCAGTTGAGCCTGTCCCATGCATTTGAGTTTCTTTGATTCCCACCTTAGAGGAGCTGCCCTACACGCAGTTCTGTAACAGAATAACTCTGCTGTTCCTATTTTCACATACTTTTTGACATCTGGGTCAGTACCTCTAGGGGTCCAGGAGAAGGTAAAGTCTCTATTCCAGATTAGCAGTTGCTTTCCCTGAGCCCCAAACCCACAAGGTTCCACTAGCCAGGATTTCTCTTAGAACCTGCCAAACTGGGMTGAGCAGTATCCTGGAGTTACAGGAATCTTGAATCCTGTTTATCTAGGCCTCACTGGATACCTTGGAAGACTCSTTCCCATTGCTTTTCACATGCCTGGCCCCAGGCACAGAGGGTGCTTGAACTGGATCTGCAGGCTCAGAGGGCCAGAGCTGCTAGAACTGTTGGGAGGCTAGGCACTCACCAGGGCTTCTCTGTCTGGTCTGGCATCAGATCCTGGTCCTCACCTACCTGTGTCCCTAGCCCTGTACATTGTCTTTCACTCCTCAGCACCTGCCACTACCTGTTATGCCCCGGGAACCTCAGCATGTCTTTGGAGGCCAATCCAGCTTGCTGGCTGCTTCCAAAGGCAAGGCCACACATCCCTTATCTTGTGTGGTGGTCAAAGACAGTGGGGGTGGGGGGAAGAGGAAGGTGTCACAAAAGCCACAGCCACAAAGTATAAGAAACTCCAGCTGCATTCTAGCTCAGTAGCAAAGTGATTTGGGAGCACAGGTTACCTGGATTCAAAATCCCAGATCTGCCATTTACATGCTGTGTGATCTTGGCCAATTACTCAAACCCTGAGTTCCCTAACTTTATCTCAGTAAAGTGGGGATCATAAGTATTTGCTTCACATGGCTGTTAGCTGGACTAAAAGAATTCTAAACATAAAGTAGAACAAGTGTTCTAGCTATATCCTGACCCGCACCCCCAGGGCACTGGCTCCTCACAAAGGTAGCTAGCCTTAATCCCAAGGGTGGGGAGTTTGCCAAACTACCACTCTCCTCATTCACTTCCTGCTGGAAACTTGAATTTTTCTGTTTTCCAGGACTCAGATAGGAAGATCTGTTCAGAACAACAAAGGATTTAGATGAAAACCTCTGACACTGTAAAAATAATATTAACACGAGGAACAATGACCATATTGATGTTGTACCTGTACTTATCTTATAATAGCTCTGCTGGGCAGGCAATCTTGCTTTCTAGACTGAATGTTGAAGCTAAACCATTTTCACATGCCTGGCCCCAGGCTTTCACCACCTTACCCAACTCATCAGCATCTTCTTATTTTTCACCCAGTGCCAGCTTAAATTTTGAGGTTTGTTATGCCACTGTCTCTTGCCTGTATCCCAGCAATTGTAATTGTAACTTGCCTGTTCACCCAGCAATAGCAAGCACTGTCTCACCTTTTAGTAAGGATAAAACAGACTCACAGCAGGAATGTCCTAGGTGTAGACCCACCACCACCTTGCCTGGCTGGCTCCCCTATCACCCCCATCCCAGCAATTTCAGAGTACAAGCTCCAGGTGTGGGAGAGCAGGCTGTGAAGGTGGAACTGGTCTGCTTCATCCTTGCCAAGCCTGGCCTTTGGCATCTGTGGTCCTTCAGATTCCGGAGGTGACTTCTAAGGCTATGCCCAGAGGAGTCTCACAGGTCCTGGAGAAGAGTCAAGAAGGCATCCCCTGTCCTTCTGAAGGATGCTAAGCAAGAGGGGGTATGTGCAGGTCCCTTGGGCCCTGGAGGAAGTTTCTCTAGGGAAAACCCGTGTTTTCAGAAGGCCTGAGGCCTCATATGGGATGTGACTGGATATGGTATGAGAACCACCTGAACTGGGCCAGATTTGGCAGTTTCTTGAACATATTCTTCCAGTATCCAGATATTCAGGCATCATGGTTGAGTTTTCCAGGTAAGCCAAGGGGGAATCTTATGGTTTGGATCTGGAATGTCCCACAAAGTCTCATGTTTGAAGACTTGGTCCCCAGTGCAACAATATTCCAAGGTGGATTTTTAAGGGAATGATTGAATCATGAGGGCTGTAACCTCACTGACGGATTCATCCATTTGATGGATTAATAACTTGAATGGCCTTCAGAGAGGCAGGTGGGGTATGGTCAGAGGAAGCAGGTCACTAAGGGTGTGCCCTTGGGGACTCTATCTTGTCCTCTCCCCATGCCCTTCCACCATGATGTTTTTGCCTTGAAGCTAGCTGACCATGAACTGAATCCTATGAAACTAAGCACCCAAACAAATCTTTCTTCCTCTTAGTTGTTTTTCTCAGGTATTCACAGCAGTGGGAAGCTGAATAACACAAGGGACACGTGTCAAGTTTCTCTCTCTGTCTCTCTGCACCTCATCTCATCACCTGATGAGAGGTTCTAAGTCCAGACTACCCTTCTCTGCTTCTATCAGCATCTTCTTCTTTGAACCAGTGGTTCTCTATTGCTAAGCTACATCCCTAGTTCTTTTTATTTTATTTATTATTTTGAGACAGGGTCTGGCAATTTGTCCAGGTTGATCTTGAACTTGGAATTCTCCTGCAGCCTCCTGAATCGCTGGAATTACAGGCTTTCACCACCTTACCCCACTCATCAGCATCTTCTTGTCTTTTCACCCAGTGCCAGCTTAAATTTTGAGGTTCGTTATGCCACTGTCTTTTGCCTGTATCCCCAACTTACCTGTCCATGGTCTCAGCATTGCATACTCTTGGCGACACTCTCACCTGGGGTCAGCTGCTCCCTGCGCCTGCAACTTGGCTTCTGTTGATGCCTGGTCCCCAGCCTCATGAAGGCTCTCAAAACTTCCACGAATCTTGCTGTTTTCTTGGTCAGATCCTTCCCCMTTCTCCATAGCAGTTCTTTAACACTGCTTTCGCCTTGCAGAGAATAGCTGTTGGTCAAGGCCTCTCTCGATTTTCTGTTTTCAAAATCCATATCCTTTCTTCTTTCCTATTAAAATGGAGCTGCAAGTCCAATTCTCCATCTTGTGGCTCCACCCACCTTCCCCTGCTCAGGGACTTTGTTCTAAGACTGACTTCCTACCATGTGTCTTCACCCCTTCTTTTTATCAACATTTAACTCATCGTATCTCTCCCATCTCAAAAAAGCTTTAACTAGCTAGCTAGTCACAAAGACCTGTCAGTCCCACCTTCTGAACATCCATTGAATCTGTTCTCCTTGAACTCTATCCCAGCAGCCACTCCCCAGTCTAAGCCCCACTACCACACACCTGCATTAATTCCCTAGCTGGTTTCCTTGCCTCCATTTTGGCCCCTTCCAATTAATTTTCTACACTGTGGGCAGAGTGATCATACACAATTCTAACCGGGCCATTTCTCTGCCTGACACTCTCCACTGGTTTCCTCTTGTCCCTGAAAACTAGCCCGCCTGCTAAGGGGATTCTGAAGCCCTGGGACTGGCCCATAGCACTCTCTGGCCCCACCCCTTGCCTCTTCCAACATGGCCAACCCATCCTGGTGCCTCCAAGGAGCCAAGGTCCTCTGGCCTCTGGGCCCTTCTTCTTGCTATTCCTTCTTTCTAGGATTCTCTCCTCAACCTCTATTGCTTGGTCAGTTGCTTCTCCTCCCTCAGGGCCAGCAGAGACAGTACTTCTCTGGGCTGTTTGGCCACTTCTTCTTTTCTTCCCAAGGCCAAGCCCCAGTGCCATACAGCAGCCAGCACAACCTAAATCCTATCCTGGCCACACTACTCCCTGATTACAATCCCTTTCTGCTTCTCAGTGCCCTGAGGACAAAGTTCAAATTCCTCTATTGGCCTGACAAAGCCATTCCTCTGACCAGCAGGAGTAGGAGAGGAGGGATCCCATCACATACTCTCCTATTCTGATGGATTGGGAGGTGGAGCCATCTGTGAAGAACTTTGGGGGCCACAGAATCTTAACTAAAGGACAAGGGAGGTGCAGACAGCAAGTGGGGGTGGGTGTGTAGCCCCCCCCCCTTGCAAGGGAGAGCAGAGAGGCTATTAGACAGCTGGTGGCAGAGTGGACTGGGCAGGAGTTCAGCTAAGTGATTCGAACCCCTGCAGCTGAAGGCAGGGGTGGTGGCAGGCCTGTGTTAGTGATCAAGGGAYCTTGGTACAGTTCTCACCATCTTTTGTCTGGTGTTAAGTTTGGATGRAGAGGTGCTGACTTCCACTATCCCGTGGAGTAGGCCCTCTGGGGGCACAGRCCACAGTCTCCATCTGGTGTCCTTTCAGAGAAACCTGACATTGGCCTTGCTGATGCTCAGTCAGATATTTAAACTGTGTGGCCCTGCCCTCTCCCCATTTTCTAAGCCTCTTTGTTTCTGCTTTCCTTTAGTTTCTTTCTTTCTCTGTCTTTTTTTTGGAACTGGAGTTCGAACCTAGGGCTTTGTGAGTGCAAGGCAGACGCTTTGCCACAGAGCTATATCCCAGCCCTCCTTTAGTTTCTTAAAAGGAATATTGGGAGGGTCTAACTTTTCTCAGATGAAAGGAAAAGGTACTTCTCCCTGTATTATGGGACAGGAGCATTCTGTGGTCCTCCCACAGTCCAGGAGTTGGCATACGGGTAGATCCCTCTTGAGAAGTTAGGAAGAGTGAGGAAGGATTCAGGGTCAAGTGTCCAGTAGCCTAACTTCCCTATCCTTCCCAGCTAAAGGTGGGTCTCCCCGCCCCTTGCATACTCATTGTCATCTGCCCAAGCCACAGTCCTTCATCCATCCCACAAAACCACTACCATGTGTCAGGCCCATGCTGGGAACTAGGGATATACAGGTGAGCGAGACCCAGGAGGAGCTCATCACCTAGTTGAAGTGACAAGTACACAAAGAAAGAATTGCAGCTACTGTCCGCATTTGGGGGCTCTACGGGCATAGAAAAGGACCAGTCACTAGTTTCAGGGGAGAGAACCAGAGAAGATTCCCAGAGACTGTGATACCCCAGAGATCCAGGGTCTTGAAGAACAAGAAGGCAAAGAAAAGAGAACATATAAAGACTGGACAAGTGGATTCATTTTGTGGAAATAGTTGGATGTGGCTGGTTTTGGGGGGGTCTTTGAGGGGAGAATGAGATCATATGATGTTAGGAAGGGTGTGAGAGGTGAGCCATGGAAAGATTTTAAGGTAGGTTCCCAGGATGATCACTCTGACTTAAGTGTTTATGGGAGCATGTGGCAGGGGGAGGTGGATTTAAGAGGCAAAAAGAGAAGAGGTCGGGAGCGAGTAGTAAGGAGGCAGTTCAATTCGGGCAAAGACAAAAGGAGTTCTTCCTAGGTAGGGTACAGATGTGGATTAGCAGGCAAATATCTATGAGGGGAATCAGAGCAGTTGGTGATTTATTGATGGAATTGGGGGAAGAGACTGTGAAGGTACCACCGTTTAGCACCACTCTGAGATCTCTGACCTGAATGCTAGGTGACTGGTGGCACTTCCAGGTGAGACAGAGGAGCTCCTTCAAGGTAGCAGAAAATTCCATTTTGCATGTGTGGAGCATGACTAGGTGTTCTTGGACATCCCTGGCTTTCCCTCTGGGCTGCCCGTGTTGCCCCGTCCCTATAGCCCTCTTCTCCTTGACCATCAGCCCTGTGTTTTTCCAGAAGACAGGCCTGCCCTTGCCTGCTGAAAGCAATTTTCTCACGTGAGGGCCTCTAGTGTAATGTTTCTTAGGAGACAATTCTCTTTCCCTGACTCTCTGGCACCTTCCATCTGTACCTTGCACAGCAGGATGTGACGCAGCAGTAAGCAGCCTCCCTGTGGGCCGATTCCAATGGGGCTGTCTTGCTACCACCCAGGAAGTGTCAGCACACCACAGAAGGGCAGGTTCCTTCCAGGGCAGGAAGTGACTCTTAGCACCCCAGAATTCCAAACTCCTCTCCTATGCCCAGGAGCCCACAAGCGGGCCAGCTGCTGTAGTGACTAAATGGATGTTCTGGTTTCCAAGGTGGGGTAGGGAGATTCAGCCTCCCAGTCACCCTCAGGGAGTCAGCTGAAGGGAGAYAGTGTAAAGGAGGTGCAGTCTCCGGAGAAACCAGCTGAGAACACCCCAAGGCTTCTGGCCTCCCCTTGAATCAGCAAGTAAACAAACGTGAAGGACTCTTCAGGTTCTCCACCCTTTTTCTGGAACCACAAGCTCATTATCTTCCCAAACCTGAATGGCCATTCAACACTCTTCCCCTCCTTCCCCTTATTACCTGAGAGGAGAAATCCCAGGCCTGGCCCAGGCCACCTTCAAGGCTCCCTTTATGAACTGACATGGCAGGGAAGAGCTAGCCTTGGGAGGAGTGGTGTGTGTGCTAGGGAGGAGGGTCTCCCAGGTGAGATGGTGAGGTGAAGATGACAATGAAAACAGCAGCCACCACTTTATTGCACATCTCTCCCGAGCCCAGTCCTTCCATTCATGACAACATTTAATTCTCACAAACAGTGGCAACCTGACCTCTAGAAAAGGCCAGAGAGACTAAGTTGCTYGCTGAGTCTCCCAGCTATTAGGTGCCTGGGTTGGGGGTTGGAAGGATTTCAATCCAGGCTGGTCTTATTCTGGAGCCCCTGTTCCTTCTGCTTTGCCACCAGTCATTCTTCTTGATGAGCGGTCACTGGTGCAGTCTCTGGGGTGGACAACAATCACCCTGTAGAAACCCTTGACGGGTATTGCCGGGCAAGGCTAGAGATGAGGGGTGTTGGAAACAGGGATCCCAGATGTTTCTCTCCCTAGAGAACTCAGACCCGGATAGGCAGAGTGACAGTCATCGGACACAAACATGCAGTTCCAAGGAGGCACACGTTAACCTGTAATGTGGAATGTGAGTACATGTGGGCTCCTAATCACATATCACATACCCAGAGAAGGGCTGATGTGGCCCTGAGACATACACACGTTCACACATAAGCATACACATGCATGTCCTGGCACAGTTCTGGAGACGCTGAGACAGGTCCTGGGAAGGAGGGTTCTGGCTCTATCAGATGAGGCTGGCGATGCTGGAGGTGGTTTCATGACGCTGGCCAGAAGACAACTGTCCTGAGATGCTGAAGATGCTGCTATTGCCACCATGACCACTATGGGTTGAGGGAGCAGCTGCACGGGTAGCAGGGCAGTGTCCACTCACGCCCACCTGATATAACAGCAAGCCCAGCAGCAAGAGCGAGCCCAAGGCAGCCAGGGCAATCCCCACAGACAGCATGGCGGCCAGTGGCCGAGCAGGAGCCGGGGCGGCAGCCAGTCCAGCCAGGGTTAGGCCGGTGACCAGCAGCACGAGACCACTGAGCAGCACCACCAGGGCATCGACCCCTCCACCGCTGCGCAGCAGGGCCACGTGGTGGGCCTGGCGTATACAGTTCATGTCCTGCACAGCTGAGCTCATCAGCTGCTTCACCAGAACCAGCAGGGCCAGTAGGCAGAGCACAGTGCCTGTTGCTAGGCGCCACTCACCAGAGCGGCTGCTGGTGGAGGACAGCAGGGCCACGCCACCTGCCCCACAGCCTGCCACAAGGCCCACAGCGACGCTGAAGCACAGCAAGGAGCGTCTTGGCTGCTGGGACCACCACAGTTCCACCTGCTCTGCCAGCATGTCGGGGGGCAGCCCCCGGCCCAAAGGGGCTTGAGCTGGTTCAGACATGGCTTAGTCAGGCAGGTCAGGGCAGAAGGTCAGCGTCAGGGATCAGGGGGTGCAGATCATGGCCTGGTGCCCCTACCACCTGCTTGGCAGTCGCAGGCCCAGAGTCTTGTTCCTCTCTCAGCCCAGGCTATGGTCATCATCACCTGCAGGGGAAGGATCTCTATGTTACCTCCCATCCACCCAGCTCTCATGGTCTCACCTGGGAGCCTTGGGGACGAGCCCTGAGTATCCTCCCCTGTGTCCTCTGGAATCCCCTTTGGGAAAGCCCCCTCCCCAGCACTGCCCCTTGGGGAAGCCTCTACAGTGACCCCAGGAGAGTTCCCCCTCCTCCCAGGATACCCCCACACCCTTCCAGGAAATCCCCTTGCCCAGCCCCTGACCTCTCTGGCTCTGGCTCTCTCAGTCGCCTGTCCCATCCTGGCTGGCCGAGGGAGCTGGTGCCACAGTGGACGATGGGACGAACAGCTAGAGATAAAGCCTCATTCAGGATCCAGACTCACATGGCCTCAGCTGTCACCGCTGGTTCCTGGGGGGGAGTTGTGGGGAGGGGGGCTGATGACTTAACTCTTCTGGGACCAGYGGCCTGACTCTGTAACTTCTCTCTTAGAGATGAGTCTCCTCTTTCTCTGTGGGTCAGAATCTGGCCCCTAATACCCTCCTTCCAGGCCTATCTCATCTCACAGCCTGACTGGCAGGAAAAGACTTTGGTTCCCAAATTTTCATCTCCAACCAGGATCTTCCTCCCAAGTCAAGTGTCATTGTGATGTCCCATTGTCATCTCTGATGCAACAGGTCCCAACCCAAACCGGTCATCTTACCCCAAACCTGCTTCTCTTCTGTGTTCCCAACTTCAGGATTGCATCACACCTCTCAGCCAGGGGGGCTGGTCTCCCTCTGTCACACCCAGTCCACCAGTCAGGCAGTCTATCTATTCTGTTCCTACAGTAGCCCCCCTGTGCCTGCCTCTTCAGCCCTGACCCCCAATGAGCTTTCTGCCGTCCCACTCTTCTCCACTTTCACCCACACCCCACCCATGTCATCCTCCTTCATGGTTTCTTTTAAAGTGCTGAGGAAAAAGAAAGGCTCTGGACTTGAACCCCAGTCCAGCCCTCTCCACCAYGGAAACACCGGGAGGGACCTAACAGTGGTTACTCATTTAACCTGTCCTCTAGGGGACAGCCAGCGTGACTCACACAGGGCAAAAATAAAGCAGGTGCAGTCCCTGCCCTCAAGGAGCCCAGTTTGCCACAAACATCAGAAATATCCTGTTGGCATGCTAGGCGTTGGGTGTGCTTGGTCAGACAGGGCCCTCTGCACCCAGGAGAGATGATGGGGAGAGTCAGGGGGCCCCATGAGCTCGGCTCTTAGAGCTTCAGTCTCCTTATCTAAAAAGCAAGGACAGTGACATTTGTCTTAAGGGATGGAAGGGAGTCATTTGACATCTTCCTTTCAGAATTCCAGTGGGGCCTGGAGTCTGCATAGAGGCTGAAGCATGCTTTTTGGAAAAGTGAATCCGATGTTACCCCTCTGATTCCAGATAGGACGGAGCATAGGTCCTGGATTGTTCCAGATATGATAACATGACTGTGCAGGGGTACACCCTGAGGAAGTATGCAGGCTCCACGACCCCTCCGCTGGGGCTACCAGGCACGGGGAAGTGGGCGTGGCAGATACTCATGCCCCCAAGGGAGGTGGGGGAGGGGCCGTGGGCGGGGCATGGACTCTGTCCCAGCATTCCCTTGGGTTGTGACTCGCTGGTCTGAAAGTACAGGCACAGGTGTATCGGGTCAGCGGGCCCCAGGCTGGGGGTGGGGTGGAGGATCTCAGAGCGAGAGCTAGTGGGAGAAGGTGGGGGCGGAGCGGGTGGGGAGACTGTGGGGCACTCACGAGAACCTGGACGTGCTGGATCCGATTTGAGCAGGCAGGGCCGGGCAGGTGGGGCGCTCTAGCTCCGTTTCCGGGGAGGCACTTCACCTGCCTAACCTGCACTCAGGTGAGCCTGGAGGGAGGGGGATTAACAGGTGTTGTTTACAGGGCAGGGCCTAAGCCGATTGGCTGACGTGGCAGCGCTCCTTCTGCTGGGCCGAGGCATTCTTGGGAAGGGAGGGGATTTTGTCGGCTGCTCTTGGGGCTCGGAACACAATTCGCTGCGGGAGGAATGTTGTCTATCTGCCCCAGAGCCTGGGCCGCAACCCAACCCCCACTCCAGATTTACCTCGGAACCTACCTCCAACTCCAGCTGCACTTGCAAACCCTATCTAGAACCCCTCACCCTCAGCCGCAGCCCTTTTCTACACCCAACTGCTCATCTGGCCTGAAACTAACTCCTAATTTCAACCCAGATTCTGATCTTAGATCCCAGACCCCAACCCTACCCTCAGCCCCAACCTTGACTCCTGTTCCTGAGTCTAGCTCCCTGAAACCCAACTCCAACTTCAAATCCCAGCACCAGGATCCCCTAACCCAGCCCAGGACCTCAGTCCCTTGACCCTCCCAGGCTGGACCCCCACAAACCCTTTGCTTATTTTCCTCTAGTCTCAAATGCCAGGCAGAAGCAGGCCTGCTGCACCCAGCCTTTCCTGCTGGGGAGGCCTGGAGGTGGAGTAAAAGCCTTTCAAGTGGGAAAGGGAGATCCCAGAATAAACATTTGACAATAAATGCCATACCGCCTTCCAGTCAGGATGAGTGTCAGTCAGTTCTGTAGGCTCTGCCCTCCACCCTGCCCTTTGCATTTTGAACTCAAGTTCCTTCCACCTGGAATATTTACCACTCCCCAGACGCAGTCTGGTTTACTCAGATTCTTCAGCTGAGATGTCACTTCCTCCAGGGAGCCCTCCCCAACCTAAGGCTGGCTTAGGTGCACGCATGGCCTCTGTGCTTCCCCACAACTCTCTTACTGCAGTGGGCCTAATGCCCTTTATTTACTTTCCTCTAACCCCCCCCCCCCCCCCCCCCCCCCCCCCCCCCCCCACACACACACACTAGATATGTGGCCCCTAGAGAGTACAGGGATGGTGCCTGTCTTGCTAATTGTCATGCCCTAGTAGCCAGCGCTCAGCCTGCACAGGGGAAGCAGTCAATATTTGTTGAATGATTGACTGAATAAATAAAGTGTGAACTGACCAGTGTAGAGGTTTTGAGGAGGGAGCATGTGAGAGGAAACTGGAAGGACAAGTTTGGCTCAGGCTTGGTTTAGGACGAGGTCTTTAATTCCAAGGGAGGCATTTGGCCTGGGCAGAGTGCCCATGGAGGGTCTGAAGGGTGACAGGGACATAGTTGATATTCTTTTTCTCCTTCTTTGAATTAAATACAGGGGTACTCTATCACTGAACTATACCTCCAGCCCTTTTTATTTTTTTGAGACAGGATCTCACTAAGTTGGTAAGGCTGGCCTCAAACTTGTGATCCTCTTGCTTCAGCCTCTCAAGTCACCAGGATGACAGGCATGTGCCACCACACCTGGCAGGGTTCTGCTTCTAATCAGCTAATCTGGCACCACACACCCGTGCTCTGGAGTGGCAAATGGGTGACTGGTTGGGGGGGGGGTGCAGGCTGTTATTTATCTTTGGAACTAGATCTTTTAAGGCCCCTTCTTTCTTTCTGATGTAAATGGAATAGAAAGAAAAACAAAGTCAAAATGATCTTTTCATTATCAGTTTGCAAAATAATTGCACCTGAGCTGTTTGTATTTCTCTTTGCTTTGCTCTGTGGAGATAGCTGGAGGCTGTCATAACTCCAGGACGACACATCTGTAGATGCACACCTTGAGCATCTAAGTAATTAAAATGTTCCCAATAACATGTTTCAAAAGAAACAGGTGTAATTCACACATTAAAATGAATATATTTTAATTCCCAAATTAAATATACAAGTTACAAATGAGCTATTTGACAATCTTTTTATTTTGTACAAAGTCTTGAAAATTTTACACCCACAGTGCATCAGTTCAGATTGGCTACATTTCAAATGCCCAATTGCCACATTTGGCTTGTGGTTATGTCCTCACTGGGGGCCACAGCTCTAGATGTTCGTCTTCTGAAGAAAAGCTTGGGGCAAGCTGAGCACTGTGGGGCAGACCGGATGTGGGGGCAATGATGTTTTAGGTGTTCATTTTGCCACTTTGCAAAATATTATAAAGTTGTCCCTTTAGAATAAAGGGGCTCATGGGAGCAGAGGGCCTGGCAGGATTTGCCAGCTGTGGATTCCTCTTTTTTTTGTATGGTCTTRGGAATTGAACCCAGGGCCTTGTCAATGCAAGGCAAACACTCTACCAACTGAGCTATATCCTCAGCCCTGTGGCCTCCTCTTACACACATCAGACWTTTATCATCTGGGTCCCAAGGAGGGTACAGTCCCAGGCAGACCCACTGTCTAGCAGCTCCAGGCAGAGCTGAGGTAGTAGACTGATAAGATTTAACCTCCCTTTCTTCTGGGAGTTTGAAGTGGGAGGGCGTAAAAGCTTCCTCAGTTTAAACATTGACCAGGCACATCTTTGTTCTAGTCCTGGGTCTTGTCAAATGACTTGCAGTTAAAGTGGACAGGCAGGTTCTGTACAGGGATGTTGCCCTCAAAGTGGAGGTTGTGGGGACAGCTCAGATGGGCAGTAATGAAGATCAGGAGGAGGAGGTGGTGGCAGTGAGTGTGCTGGGGRAAGTGTGCATTCCATCTGTCCTCAGGAGCATTAGAAGATGAAGGGTGGGAGTGTTGGGAGGGGAAGGGAGAGCTGGGGGCCATTTCCTGCTTCTGCCATGTTCCCACCTCACATTCTGCTCACCCTGGAAGCCAGAGTGATCCTATTGTTAGGTAGAGCAGGTAATGTCACTGCCTCTGACCCTCCAGGTTCTTAAGGCCCTCTCTGACCTAGTTCCTGTTACCTCAGAGCCTCTGCACGGGCTGTTCCCTCTGCCTGKAATGCCTTTCTCCCATGTGGCTCCCTCCCTCAATTTCAGGCCACCCTAAAATTCCAGTCTCCCCCAATATTTCCGATTCCCCCCACCTTG